TTGGGACGGTGTGGGGTTTTGAGGGTTTTTTACGGCATTGGGTTTTGAGGCTTGTGAGGGTTTTCAGGGAATTAAATAAGGATTCTAGGTGGGTTTGGGGTGTGTTTTAGGGTTTTGGAGTTAAGGTCCGGATAAAAGGGCGAACGGCTTTCAGGCCAAGGGATTCGACTTGTGCTGAGAAGGTTGTAAGCGGTTCTTGGGTCTCTGTTGAAAGGCTTTGCAAACCATAGAGGTGAGCTTGGTCGAGAGGCACATGGACGAAGCCGTGAAGTTTCAGCTCCAGATGCACGGTTCGTATCCAGATCTGTTACTTGATCCTCGTTCCCATCCGTTCAGGGTCATGGTCACAACATCAGACGAAGCCCCCATTTTGGGCACAGCCGGGCTTTTCTGGTCCGATGATTGGAGAAAGGCACTGGAGAGGTATAAGGGGAAGTGAGATTTTGTGGGAAGGCTGCGTGCCGGGGCATCCGAAGCCAGACTGTGTGTGCTGCTGCGTGTTGAAGCAGCGAGCCGTGAAGTGGCAGGAGTTCCAGCGCCGCCTCAACATCCAGGAGTGCCGGCTTCTTTCTGTGATTATGATGTTGCTTGCTACTTCATGGAACGAGGATTGGGGATCATGATTCTCGCAGGCATTGCCCTTCTTGTTGGACATTCTCAGGCTTTGCTCTCCAAAGGGGCACATTGCGTCTTCTCGTCCTGGGGGTCGGCCATTTGCTGTTTTGGTGGGATGTCGGGATCGCTCTAAACACTCGCGAGGTTTCGGAAGGTGCATTTAGATGATCAGTGCGCCAGTTGGCGGGGAGTCCGACTGCGAAACTTGAACGTAGCACGATTATTGCCTCAAGTTCGGAGGTTCCTGGATCCAACCCCGTGGTCTGCGGTGGAGTGTATACCCCCGACATCTCTGAGCCGCATGTGCAGGACAACGACCTGAAAAGGAGCCGTGAGAAGTCTTCGCAGGCCGGATCCATCCAAGATCTGCTGTAGAAAACCGTAATAGTAATGATATGTAACAACAATAATATACAACTTCGGACCATAGCAATACTAATAACCCTGACCTTCACCTACTGACATTGTCTCAACATGTGCTGTGGAAGCATTGAGCGCAGATCACGTGAAATCGCCCAAGTCTTGAACTCTGCATTGGAAAGCTTCCTAGTCTTAAACCATAAGTTCATCCCGGAAGCACCAAAGCCAGCCAAAAATCCCAGTCTCAGGTCCAGAGACATCTAGTTAAATCTCACCAACCCACGCACCCGCAGACGAGGTCGACCTAGAGTTTAGCCAGCTGACGAACCGCCGGGACCTTAAATGACAACACCATGAGGTCTCATGGGGACTTGGTGACTCGTGATGTTTCGCGGCGCAGTCTCGAGAGCATCAGGGCTTCTGTGCAGGGTTGATGCACACCTACAAGTGGAGTTATATAGGAGCTTTCCAGTGCTTGTCATGAAGGCTTATGGTTTTGTCCGACTGAACCTAAACTCTGAGCCCTCAGTTCTCAACCCCAAACTCCAAACCCCGAGCTCCAGACCTTCAGCCCCAAACTCCAAAAAGGCAACTCCACCACCCCGGCAAATCCGAGTCGTGCCTTTGGTTCCCAGGACTGTCGGCTGCCCGGAACCCAGCATTTAAAGAATAGGATCTAGGGCTTTGGGGTATAGGATTTAAGGTTTGGGGTCCGACTTTTTGGAGAAGTAGTACGTGGACGCGTCCTGTTGGGTTCCTTGTTCTGTTCTCATCTCTGATTGTGGTGTATCAATCAACTGTGACATACCAGTACTACGGGACCACTCCTGAGTGAATGCGCTATGATACAGCATCGCCATAATACTACTGTGATATTTGCATGCATTGTGATACATCTTGCAAAGAGATTGCGTCAAATGTCCATTAACCTACCATCTTGTTACTGCTCCTAGTACTATTACAGGTTACATTTTAGCTTGTAAGTTTGCGACTAATCCTATTATTATCACTGTTGGTTTCGCTATGACCGTGGACGGATATCCCCTCATCGCCAGGTCCGCGTAGAAGTCTCCGGTCTGAAAGACCGGACGGATGCACAAGAATCCCAGGCACTGCATCGCGAGGCAGGAGAATCTTCTGGATACGTGGGGCTTAGTGTTTGGGCGGAGATCTTTTGCTTTAGCTGCTTCTGACGTCGCTTTTGAGCATACGGTGATGTATGCAGACTTGATGTTCTGCTGGTTCCGACGGTTTGTATTTATTTTTTGACAATTGCGAACGTGCCATGTGCCAGTATACAGGCAAGCAGTTTATGTCATAGTTTTCTCGCACTGCCCGAACACCGACATGTTGCAGACAAGGTCAGAACACAAACAAAAGCCCCTCTTAGCTCTGAGCCCGAGCAGGCTGTGAAGGCAGCAGCAGTAGTTGAAATACGGATGCGGGGAATTGCAAGAGAGATGTTGCAGAGATGGCTAGATGTGTTGTGCTTGGGGAAGGCAGCTCGGTTTCCAAGTCAGGGTTCCAGCTAAGGCCAGTTCGGCGCACAGGTTCGCATAGTGAACTCAGCAGCTAGACCTCAGCAGTTGAAGCCTCGGTGGACATCAACGCCCTTCCAGTGCAGGTACCTGTAAGAGAAGACCTTCGTTTCTCCTGCATGTAGTAGAGATCCCGAAGCGATCGAAGGGCGCCGAGAATGAGCTTGCTCGACGTCTGCGTGATCTGCAGCTGGAGGTGGAGGCAGCCTTGCCCCCACGAAACTCTTGAACAGCTATGACTCAACGCTGTCGGAACATGCAGGGCATGGAGATACAAGTCTGACCTGCGGGGAGCATCAGAGTTCTTATCTTTAAGAAGAGTTTGTAAGCAGAAAGCCCATACAGCCCATACTGCGGAACTGCAGCATTGTGAAAAATCGCACGTCAATGTATCCAGGGCATGCACGCATGCACGCATGTACGTACCTTGGTCAGTAGTAAGTTAGTCAGTATGTACGTAAGGGCAAGTCAGTGAGTCAGTAATTCAGTGCGTCAGTAAGTCTGAAAAACAGCAAGTAAGCAATGAACTCAGAAGGTAAGTCCGAACGTAAGTGCGTAAGCATGTAGGTGAGTAAATGGATGACAACATGTCACTATGCGTGAATTAGGTACGCATGTACCTACGCTTGCGTGCATGTGTTTGGGCACGTACAGGGCTGCGGCATGGTCGGATGGACGGACGGACGGATGAATGCATGGAGGGATGGACGCGTACTCACCCGTGGAAGAGTAAAGTACTGCCAGAGTATTGAGGACAGCCAACATCGCAACAATCACAAGATTGTTGCTAGTTGTCGTGATGATGTTCCTGCGGTGCTCGTGGTCGGTGCCTCTGCCACGGTCGTCGTCGCCGTCGTCGCCAGCAGCGGGGCCGTAGCAGTCGCACAAGTAGCAACGACCTATGCGAGCTCGGGCATGTCCCTAATCCGCACCACGAAAGTCTGATGGTTATGCCCAAAAGCGGTTTGCTCACACTGTAATTAAAGGACAGCCCCCCACCAAATTGCCCACAGAGGCCGTGGTCCCGACTTACCAAGCTCTCTTCATGTATGAGGCCGACTTGATAACCAGCACGGCTACAGTTTTGCCAGGGCCAGTGCCATCCATGCAAACTCAGTGTCGCAACCGCCGTGTCAACAAACTGCACAATCTAGGGGCCTTCATGATTAGAATAAGGTTTTGGGGCATACTATACTATCACTTTAATAGAGAACCCCCCCAAAACCCTGTTCTACTGACTAAGGCCCCTAAAGTAAACTGCACATTCGGATTGTCCTGAATGGGCACATTGGGAGACCTGGAGGTTCAGGGCGAGACTCTCCGGCGGACGCAGGAGGAGCAGTTTCGTTTGCTTCTTCCGGGGCAGGTTGGAATCCGTAAAGAAAGGGGCCCAAATACTTACCAATATTATGGTGGGGGCTTCCTTCTCATAGTTATAGCATACTGGGCCCCAAAACCCTATTCTAATCATTAAGGCCCCTATCTTAGTTTTCTCTTCGTTCTTGTGCTTCGGGCTTCAGGGCAGCCTACAGGCTGAGGGGTGGGTTATAGGTTGAGTTGTAGTGTTCAGGGAAGTACTGTTGATGGACAAAATCCTGCATGACTCTAAGGACCCTAAACTATTGGAATTATGGTATAATCCTTATAATGGTTAATGCAGGATTTTGTCCATCAACAGTAGGACGTAGGTTCGGCTGTCTGGGGCAGGCTGCTCGCAGCTGCCGGAGGGCTGGTTCAAGCTAGTAGTAGTAGTAGTAGTAGTAGTAGTAGTAGTAGTAGTAGTAAGTAGTAGTAGTAGTAGTAGTAGTAGTAGTAGTAGTAGTAGTAGTAGTAGTAGTAGTAGTAGTAGTAGTAGTAGTAGTAGTAGTAGTACAGCCGTCACAAGGATTTGGTGAAGTCGAGAAGCAACCTGTCCAGAAACAACTTGACTATACCGGCAGCCAAATTTCTTCAAGAAGGCGGCGATGGTGAGACTGTTTTCGCGGTGGTGGTGGTGCTGCTATGATGACTCCGACAGGTGCCGGCGACCTCCTGGGGTGGTAATGAAAGTGACACTTTTTGTGACACATAACTTACGTCTTCCAGGTCAGCCCCCCCCCCCAGACAGTGAGCCGTAGTGGTGGAGGATCTGAAGAAGAGCGTGGCAAGAGCTGCTGGCTCAGTCGGAATCTCTTAGGTTGGGCCTTGGGCTTCGGCTCGCCTCTGAGATGGCTCGGCCTGTGTTGAAGCTTCTAAGACGGAGCACCGATCCAAGAACGCGGCGGGTCCGTGTGGTTCCTACGGTAGTATGGCAATTAGTACAGTATTATGTAACGCAAGGGCGGCGTATTATGCCACAAAAATGCCTGCCCTCAACTGTATCATCGCATTGCTCCGCGCCTCCGCTCTTTAATCGCAGTATTTTAGCTGTTCGAAGAGCAAGCGGCTCAAGTTGTGACGCGACTGTCCGTGGTCTTCAAACTACTCTATCCATCAGTAGGATTTGCGATGCCAATCATGCGATGCTTGCCTGCTGCAGTACTTCTTCTGTCTATGGCTGCGAACGGTGCAAGAGTCTTTCCCGGGTTCAACAACGTGGCAAGTGCCAGGCACCCAAGTCTGGGGGTGCCACTCTCCGCCCAGGCAACGGCCCATGTCATCACGGATGGTTCCCAGAAATGGAGCAGCACCGGAAACGTCTCGTACAAATTAACGAAACTTCTCTGGCTGACTGCAGTTTCTGATCACATGATTACTTTTGAAGAGAAGCAGCCGGGAGGTGCTGACCGGCGGCACACTATGTTCGTTGGATGGAACAACATCGTCACCCGCATGGTTGATCGCTACCTCTTCGTGACAGACTTCGACCAGGAGAGGGAGCTTCGCTCCGTGTGCTACACGTACTCCGACGAGCGTCCCGAGGGCTTCTGGGATCCGTTCGAACAGGTGGAATCGAACTTCGACCTGGTCACGGAGAGCCCAGAGGCCGATTTCTGGAAAACCCCGAAGGTAACCACCTCACATGGCACGCAGATGGTGGCGAGGATGTTTACCGAGGCAGGTGGCAAGAATGCGTTGAATACAACCATCGTGTCCACCGAGAACAACCACAAAAGCACATATACCATCGTCTACAGCGATCGTGCCCAGTCAGCGATTGCAGATCACGACGAACTTGTCTACAAGTATCAAGAGATGACCTGTACGACGGTAAGCGGGTTTCAGAACCTGCCAGAGGTCTGCGTTGATGACCTCTTGGCCATAGAGTACGGATGCGGTTATGCAGAGCTTCGAGAGAAATCCTAGCTCTTGATTTCTGAGGCTGTCCGCTCAGCCCGAGCGCCTGTAGCGGCACTGCGTCGCCAAAAGAAGCGCGACTCGACGACATCAGAGCTACAATAGGACTTTCGTCCGGCCGCTGGAGCTTAGGGTCATTTAACATTATGACATGAGTTTCCAGCTGATCTCCAAACTACAAGCCTTGCTACGACGAAGCCATCTCCACCCGTGAGTTCGAAGCAACCTGACAGGACTCCGAGGACGGCACATGTTCATAGTTGTTGCTGTTTAACGGGCTGTTGATTTTGTTGCCTGCTAGGATGAACGGCTTCATCCCAGCACCGCTGGCCACCTAATCACCGGCCTAATCCCTTCAAGCCGGAAGTCCTGAGCAATATCTTGTTTTTTCAATGCGCCTCCCCAAATTCGAACATCAGGAATTCCGACTGCTCCTAGACCCTAAACCCTTCGATCACCAGGAATTCCAAGTGCTCCAAGGCCCAACATCAGGCTCTGCCTCCTGGGGAGTCGGCACGGGCCTCGTCGTATTTCTTTCGCCCGTTATTTCGCGCATGCAGAAGGCGGTTTACGGTCTAGTGTCTAGGGTCTTTCCGAAACGGTGCTTGTGCGGACGTTTGCAGCTTCTTCCGCCTTTCCGCTGCATGTTGTAACGCGCAACTTAAAGCATGGCCAGTCTGGGGAGAGATCAAGAAGCATCCATCTTTTGCTGACAGTGAAGCCTGAACACCAATCCTCAAACCCATGAAGCTTGTCTAGCATCCTGTCTCAAGACAGATTCTTGAGGCATTCTCCGTCTTCGCCCCAGCTGTGCCCCGAACGCATGTATTGAGGCGATGATAAGAACACTAGTAGAAGCTACATGGCCACATATTGGCAGGCCGGCGAGGACGACAGCATTCACAGAAACAATTTCTAAGAAGGTTCTGGAGCTGGAATTCGCGTTGGAGGTCCTTTTGGTACTTCCCCTCCTCTTTCTCCTCTGCGGTGTGGTTCAGAAATACATGCAGAAATAGCGACATTCAACGCCGGAACTCTGCAATAAGCAGCAGTAGCAATGGCAGTATCAGGACCGCAAGCAGCTCCTTTTCAACATACGAGCATAGAGTCGACAAAGGACAGCAAACACTTCAGCCATTGGGCAGAAACTCCTTAGGAGCATTCTTCGACTAGAACGATTAAAATACCTGACACCAGAGCAAAGCAGATACATGGGATGTCATCAAAAGCTTGGTCATCTGGATTAAGGTCCACATGTAGAAGGACATGTGTTGGCAGTGGGACGTTTTGCGCTCTCTTCTTTGTCGGTAAGTTTTCTGCGCTGAAGAATTTGGAAGGCCAGAAAACTAGGCTGAAGCACCGTTTTTCGCAGAGTTTGCTCCAAGGGCTCATCGATCCAGTGCCAATCCCGCTGAGCAAGAGGAATTCTTGAGAAGGCACATGAGAATTCCCAGGCCACGAGAGTGACCCAGTGTCTCTGTCAGCCCTACCCCCCAGCGAATCCATGATGATAAGAACCCCAGCCCAAAAGCAGAACAGGCTTTACCGAGGCTTTGGTTCATCGACCCGTATTACCCTGTGAAAATACCCCCGGTTGTAATGCCCTATAGACCGGTAGGCCTGTACCCGAAATCTGAAGTGCAGAAGGTACGGCAGCCTGCTTTGCAGGCATCGCACGCGCAGCCGGCAAGGCCCGTGCTGGTGTTCAGGGTTTGGGAGTTTAGGGTCGAGCCTGATCATACAGCTGTGCAGCCGTACACCGTGTACTTGATGCTACGGTTGTGACGATGGTTAGTAAGTGTCAATATTGTTGTTTGCCTTTGGGGCTGGTCTCCAAAGCTTTGATGGTTCCTTCAACAGCATGTCGCAAACACCTTGTTAGATTTTCTATTTGCGTCACTCGTATCATTCTCATTGTTGTGACTTTTCTTCCCTGCCACACCCTTTGGAGCGTCTTCCAATAGGAGACCTTAGCGTCTTCCAATAGGAGACCTTGGGGGAATGAAGGAATCAAGGCTCCAAGCTTGTGGACACACCCCAAAACAAAGGCGCCACGACGAAGTAGGCTTCACGGCCCCGCAATTCGCCTTCACTGTGCCTGGGAGGCCTGTGCCACCTGCGTTGGCGTCGCCCGCAGTGGAGACCTCAGAGCTATGACGTAGCATCATCACAATCGTCACCGTTGTCATCATCATCATGACCCTCACCACCAGCATCATCATCGTACCGTCATCATCATCATCGTCATCATCATCATCATGATCATCATCATCATCATGACCACGGTATCATCATCATCATCATGATCATCATCACTGTTTCACCAGCATCATCACCACTACCTTTCATCAGAACCATCATCCTGCCAAGAATTTGATGATGATAATGATGATGCGGCTGATGACAAAAATGATGATGATGCTGCTGCTGATGATGATGATTGGACACTCAGCATTCGACCTACAGGGCTTGGGACTTGTCTTTGCGCACTGAGGTTGCCGTTCCGGGGTTGTGCTTGCTCTAGGCCCCTGTCGTTTATATCAACTTCTTGCGCCTCATGTTCTGAAAAACTCGTAAGCTCACAAGGAAATTTGTTGCTCAAGGCACAACCGTCCCTGCATAAGAGCAGATGGAAAGCCGGCGTGACGAGGCAGCTGCATCTGCAGCATCGGCAGCCGTCACCCCGCAAGCTGCATCGTTGGCACCCTCCAAGGCTTCTCTGCTTTGTTCCGGGGAACCCCACAGTGCTGTGTGCAAACATGTTTCAGTCTATGTTTTGCGATTGCACTGTCTGCCCTTGCATCGCATCTGCACACGCTGCTTCCCGAAAGTCTGCAACATGGACCTAGGATTTGGTCTACGGGTCTAGAGATCTTGTTCACCGTAAATACCCCTTAACCCAAGATCGCTCCAACGGCATCCCACCCTTAAGTCACTTGAGGGCAAGTAGAGCAAAGAATCGATGGCCCTTACTCTCACCGTCTTAGTAAGGTGGCCTGTTATCTTCTTTCGATGGAGAGTCCCACGCTGAAAGGATGCCTGCCTTAACCACCCCCACTCCAAGGCCCCACGTTTATTGTAAACCCTCAGCCTTTGATGGCGAGAGGCTTCTGTGCGCTCAGATCGACCTGGGTCAGATGGGGGATCCGTGAAGGACGGGCCAGTTTGGGGCGTGCAGAGGAGGAGTGCCGCAGTTTAGTCCAGCTACGCCCATAGTGGCGCGAAGCATTGAGTGGACGATTCGAAGGCCTCCCTGGGCCATGAGATGAACTCAGCGGAGGCCCGGCTCTCGACTTGGCTGGTCTCGGTTTCAGGGCTCTTCACCGGCAATGCGATGCAAGAACCCACGGTTTCAGGAACCTTCAGTCCTAGAGCTGAGCCATGCTTGCAGCTAGGGGATTCAGGCTTGAAGCCTCTGTTACCTCAGCTACACGTATGCAAGGGAGCAGCTCAGGGGACCCTAATTTTGACAACCACCCATGTAAGTCCCGCCCAATGTCAGCCCCCGACACGGCATCCGAAGGCCACCAGCCAGCCTCGCCGGCTCTCTGAGGCGAAGCACTTCCTGTCAAGGGTTTAGGGTTTTAGAGTTAACTAAGGGTTCAGGGTTTGGGGGCTTAGGGTTTTAGGGATAACCAAGGGTTCAGGGTTAGGGTTTAGGGGTTAGGGTTTAGGGTTTTAGAGTTAAGAAAGGGTTCAGGGTTCAGGGGTTCAGGGCCACTTAGCTGCATAGGAGCTTGTGCAGAAGCAGAAGCTCCAGGCACTGCAGGGCCGTTTGCTTGGAGTGGGCACCGGGCTGCGGATCGCCAGTCCGATGCAGCAGCCCTTGAACCCCCAAAAGGCGGGTTTAGGGTTAATACGAGGGCCTTAATAATTAGAATAGGGTTTTGGGGTATATTATACGATAACTATAATGAGGAACCCCCCAAAAAAGTGTTGGGGCTCCAGAAGGTGCATCCAGGTCTCTGAGAAACTGCTGAAGCCCGGCTTAGCTTCCGGCAGCTCCTAGCCCGGAACACCAAGCCAAACGGTCGAGGCTTTGTGTGGTTTAGGACAGAAGAAGCTCCATGCAACAGAGAGCAACGGACAGATACGTGTATTGTCATGAAATCGTTCATTGAAATGTCGCCAATTATCATATCCACGATTCAAACTTTGCGGTTGTTGCGACCAGCTTCAATTCTCCTCCCATCACCCAGAATCTGCAACGCTGGCCCCAGGCGAGCTCTGTGGCATCGAACAGACCTCAGGCATTCGCTGCTCTTGGGTGCGGGGTGGGTTTGGGAGGCTAGAGCTGAAGGTTCGCGGCTTGAGATTGTAACTATGGACCTGTGGCCCCTGGTCGAGTGTTTTGAGGCGGCGTGCTTTTGGGGCTTTGAAGCTCTTAAGGGGCATCGGGCGCCTGGCTCCGAGGGCGAATTTCAGGCACGAGTTTCAAGAGTTGCCAAGCAGTGAAGCCGCTTTGGCGAGGTGCCATCTGCCAGCCACTTGGACGTGCCAAAGGCCCAGCAGGGTCCCACATTCACGGGCTTCTGCATTGGTTGCTCTCAACCCTTGTTGAAAATCTCCGTGTCGAGATGGATGCAATCGTAATTTTCCTGCTTTTTGAGGGAGCCCGTGGAGGGCCTGGTATGGACAGGCTCCAGGAAGGACGCTTTCCATTATTATGAACTTCAATGCTGGACACCTCCTGCAAGGAAGAGCGCACAGCAAAGGCTCGAAAACACAGAACCACCGACATGTAGATTTTGGATCAATGATGAAACACGTTGCTGATGGGCAGGCGCCGTCCGTGGCCCCGGTGGACGTGCCAAAGGCCGCTCTCACGGGATGTCCTAAGGTCGTAGAGAGTTCACACTGTGTTGCATCATCATCATCATCACCACCACCACCATCACCAGCACCAGCACCAGCATTATCATCATCGTCATCACCTCCACCACCTCCACCACCGCCACCACCGGTGCTGCTGCTACCGCATTTGTAACTGCTGCTGCTGTGACTTACGG